ATTATATGTTTAACTACTCTATTAAAATTCTCTGGGCACAAAGTTATTTGTAAAACATGGAGTTATTCATTTAAAATAATGTTTTGTTTTTTACCTCTGAGTAGTACTCTAATGTGTATATATTCCACACTTTCTTCATCCATTCTTCCATTGAAGGACATCTAGGTTGTTTCCAGGTTCTGGCTATTACAAATAATGCTGCTATGAACATAGTTGAACAAACGCCCTTGTCATAAGATTGGACATCTCTTGGGTATATTCCCAAGAGTGGTATTGCTGGTACAATGACTTATCAAATTTTGCATGCAAATGGATGGAAATAGAAAATACTATCCTGAGTGAGGTAACCCACACCCAAAAAGATGAACATGGGATGTACTCACTCATAATTGGTTTCTAGCCATAAATAAAGAACCTTCATCTGGCGATGGATGGAGATAGAGACAGAGACCCACACTGGAGCACTGGACTGAACTCCCAAAGTCCCAATGAGGAACAGAAGGAGGGAGAAGATGAGCAAGGAAGTCAGGACCAAGAGGGGTGCACCCACCCACTGAGACAGTGGGGCTGATCTATTGGGAGCTCAACAAGGCCAGCTGGACTGTGACTGAAAAAGCATGGGATAAAACCGGACTCTCTGAACATGGCGGACAATGAGGGCTGATAAGAAGCCAAGGACAATGGCACGGGGTTTTGATCCTACTTCATGTTCTGGCTTTGTGGGAGCCTAGCCAGTTTGGATGTTCACCTTCCTAGACCAGGATGAAGCGGGGAGGACTTTGGACTTTCCACAGGGCAGGGAACCCTGACTGCTCTTCAGACTTGAGAGGGAGGGGGAGAGCAGTGGGGGGAGGGGGAGAGAAGTGGGGGGATGGGGAGAGGAGTGGGGGGAGGGGGGGAGGAGTGGAAGGCTGGGAGGAGGCGGATTTTTTTTCTCAATAAAAAAATAAATAAAATAAAATAATGTTTTGCTGTTTAAGTATCAAATATCTTTTCTTCATATGAATAAATTATATATGATGGTGATACTTTTGTAAATAAGTACGTGTCTGTATGTGTGTGTACTTAACATAGGTTTTGGATTTTGGCTGGGCTGAATTTTTGCTCTTCTGAATGTATTACATGTATTTTCTTGACTGTAGGTAGAAATTTGTGTCCACCTCCCCTTCTCAGTGTAGAGATTTTCTCTGGCTTCAATGCCTCCTCAATTTTCACAGGTTTTGGGCATGTTGTTACAGTTTCTGTGAGTTTATATGTGCATCTGCATCTGTCCTGTTATGTCTGGAAGGTGCTATGTTCTTGGAGTCATCCACCACCTCTGAGCTGAAAACTTTTTGCTCCATCCTCCTATAAGAATGTACATATATGTATTTATGTATATGAGTGTATATTTGAGTTTCTACTTTGTTTATTGCCTATGTCCTGCATTTTAAGGATTATGTTTATTTTACATGAAATATCAGAAAAGAAACACCATATTTTCAATTTGAATATTAATGAAGAAAATAGTTCTTTATTCTTTTTTGCACATTTTAAACTTTCTTTGAATTCTGGAAACTAAAAAAAAAAAGTAGCTCTCTTATCCACTACAAATGTGCCCTAGCACTAATTTATATCAAAATTATATAGCACATAAAATTTAAACACATTCCTAAAGGACTCAAGTAAAATTTAAATTTCTTTTCATGTTCAACCATGGATCTTCACTCTGTTGTCTTATTTCTTTTTAAATTGTCTGCTAATACTTTTTAGACTTTTGGGTAAGAATGAAATGCTTTCACACTTACTGAAACACTCTGAGTTTCTCCTCTCTTACAATCATGGCTCATTACTCTCATGCATCATTTTCCCTTGGGCTGCTTTCAGTTCTTTACCCATACCTTTTCAGAATAATAGTTACTCAGGAGCATCTTTTTTTCCAAATCATATTCTTTTGAACATTTTAGTCTACTTACTGTGCTGATCTGTTGCTATTCTAAACAAATTGAGTAAATTTAAAAAAGTATACCCACAATCCAACTTTTATTTTTTATACGGCCATTTTGTCCTCATGGCCAGTCAATGACCATAATAGTTGTCCATTTTTGCTTTTATCCTTCTGCCTTTACACATTTCTGAGTAATCTTATTTCTGTCATTACTAGCTAGCACTCTTTCAGTTTTTACAGAGACTTAGCTGTGTTTATCTTGCTGAGATAAGCATCACATCCCTAAATTTTATGCTTCCTTCTATTATTTTTAGCAAAGTTCCACTTGACACAGAACCTGAGAAGGATAAGACACTAGTGCTAAAAACAATATCCGGTTAGAGGGACTCTGATTTGAACTTAATGAAAGGCATTGGGTGCACTTCAATGGCTAAACTGCAGCCTAATGATTTCAAACTTCAAGTGTTCGAAAGAATTATGGACACCTAAAGAGCACTGTGCAATCCTACCTTTTGGAAAAGCAGAGCACAGAAGTTTTAGTTCTGGAAACTAAAACTTAAAGAACTACTTTCTCACTGAATATGATTTTCTGTCATCTCCACAGAACCCCTGATATTTGCATGTTTTTTTCTTTTTCTCTCATGTCTCAATGTTTGTTTTAAAATAAAAAAAGAGCAAGGGATGGCCTTTAATGGACACTGAAAGATAAAGTCCATGGCCATGAACAATAAGGCAGATTGTTTTTTCAAGGTGGGATTTGTATAGCACCAGCATCATAAGATATTCCTGGGAAAGGAGATCTTTGTCGTGGAAGATTTGAGCACCATCAGTGGCGAATTGACAAGGGTACTCTGACAATCCACGTTTGGTCTCCAAAGCTACATGGTAGAAGGAGAAAATTAACTACCTCACGCCACCTTCGGTTCTCTATGTATGTGCTATGGTATGTGTACACATACACCACACAGAGACTAACTAAATGCAATTTCAAAATACTTTATAAAGATTTTAATGCTTTTGTAAAGACATCAACTAGTATAGAAATATCTACCCTGTGTTCTTTGTTTTTAAATATTCACTAATATTCACTAGACTATTTGAGAATGCCTAGGAACATGGATAACATGAGGGAAATGGGAGATGCAAATAAAGTTGGCATAGAATTTATTGCTTAGGAATGTATTTGAAAGCTTTGTTTATTGGTCTTTCCTCTTAGCACAAACCATTAATCAAATGATGCTTTCCTAGAAACCGGGGCAAGATTTAACAGAAGATATTAATCTATTTCTGAAGACAAAGGCTACTTTTCTTTCAAGCACTCTGAATACCTAATTTAAGCTCAGAATCACTATTCTTTCTTTTAAATGGAACGAGTGAACAAACAGTAAATAAATCATTTATTCAGATGCAAAATAATGAAAAGTATTGCTTTAAAAAACACCAGAATAAATTGTCTAAAAGATGTCTTCTGCCTAAAGGCTAGATCTAGCGAGGCCTGCAGTTTAGGTAAAGAGTAGAGTGGTGTTATTGTTTCAGGGAAAGGACAGGTAAAGTGGCCTGGGATAAATATGTAATCTTAGCCCAAGGCTGTAGTATTTGAGTGCAATGTATTTTTCTTTGGTTGGGATATAATGCACTCATTCAAACATATAACCTACAAATAAGACATAGGTATCAAACATTATATGCCTGAGTATATAATAAGATATCTTGGTAATATCAGGTATTCTGGAAATATACACTACTGCATGTCTATACACAGACACTCACTTGCCCAGGTTGTTCCACAGGTTTCTACTGCAAAACCAAGTTGTGTTGACTAGACAATGCAAAGAATAGCTACTTTCCTATTTTTTTCTTAAATATGATGCATGAAGCAATAGCAATGCACAGATATATAATGGATCCATCCCTCAATTCCTTATTTATATCTGTGAGGCTGAAGGTTATGCTTGACAGTGCACATATATACGTGGGTGTGCATGTCAGTGCTTTGACCCTAATAGCTAACCTTGTAAACCCATCTTTCCTCTTCAACTCTTAAAAATATATTTGTGGTAATATCTGGTATTATTTCACATTTTTTGGAAAGTAATTTTAACCTCAGATCTGCTGCTCTCTTATCTGAACAAAATAAAATAGGTTTTCTTAAATTGGAGGTACACAGTATTATGTTCTGTGTGAGCATTCTCGAAACAATGACATATCTTTTCTTGAGCTTGTATATACAATAATTAAGAAAGTATGTATAAACTATTTTGATACTTTTACACATTTTCCTAGTCTTGGTGTTTCCAAAATAGAGATTCAATAAAGTAATGGTGGTTTTCTCATTCTTCTGTCATTTGACACACAGGTAACTGGTAGATTGTTTTTAATTTACATGTTTATATATTTTCATCATACTGTGCACATTATTTATAATTATTCTCATAGTATCTTATTCCCTCCTCAGTTAGTCAAAATAAATGTAATTGAATTACACGGTCCTTTTACTATGTGCTCCTTAAAGATACTTTAAAATGAACATTCAGTGTTACATGGTTTTCCCATTTTTCTCTTTATTTTTATTGTTACTGTGATTATTAATGAACACAAATGCGTCTTTTATTTTGGCAAGAATCATGACCTATAATTGTATTTTTAATGAAAAAGATTGGAATTTTCATGAAGTAGCAGAGAGAATACTTTTCTTTTCTACTCATTCCCTGAATTGATGCATCAGTCTTTATTCCCTAACAGAGATACATCATTACCTCACTAAGACAAACAAGCAAAAAGGGGCCACTTGCTTCCCGTTGCATTTACTTACCTTTCAAAATATCAGTACAGTAGTTCTGTTGGTCAAATAAGTTTGCTGCTTACCTAAACATCATTATGTGTGTGTGGGGGGGGGGATAGATCTGCAAATTAGTGCTGGACAGAGAAGGAGGTATAATTCTAAATACTTGTAGTCTTTATTGGTGTCTTTTAATCATGACTACCTAGTCAACATAATTTCCTACTTAGCACTTCTGATCCATCTCTGAATTATTAAAAGAAATATGAATAGGGCCAAAAATATATACAGAACTCCCAAAGTGACACAATGGTCTATTTTTGGTTTGTCCACAGACAAATTTGCTTTACATAAATGGCTTTTTTTTTACAAAATTGAAATGTGAATATATTTTTATTTTTCCCAGTGAATACACAATACACAATTTTTTGACAATACTATGAATCAATGTTATGCCCATTTCTTTGCTGATCTAATAACATCAAATGAAACACAACAAGATTTGGGATACTGTTTCTTGACTCAAATAAACTACATTGAAAAAAAATTCATCTATAAAACAAAGTATAAAAAGTCTACCCATGGCCACAAAATCCATTATCTTGTAACACTTTAAAATCACAACGAACACTTTTAAAATTATGAGAGTAAAGAATATCTGTAAATGGCATGTCCTTTAAAAATGTATGTGGTTTCATTTGAAGTAACCATTATGATAAAACAAAGAAAAAATCATTTCACCTCTCAGATAATGTGGAAAAACAGGGTTTTTCCCCACCCGCAATATACAGAAGTATATGAACAAGCTAACAGTAGTGAATATTATGGTTTTGCATATCTTCAATATTGACAAGATCAATTCTCAGGGAAGTGATCTGCAGTTGTGAGCTCATTGATGCAGCAATTGTTTCATCATCAATGAAAAATTGCATAAATTCATTAAGTAGAACTTGGTAGTATTTCATGAAATCACTTACAAACTTGCAACTGAAATCCTACTGAAAATCTATATAAATATGTAGAACATTGTACTATATCATAGAACATACTAGATCTGTTTTGTTAGTCAAAGTAAATAAATTTGCAAGCTTTTACTTCACTTTGGTGGTGTGTTGTCTTACACATTGGTCTTGACTTTCCTATATACTTCCTTGAGCTGCTCCAAATGCTGTGAAGGAGTTCAATGTTTTCATAGTCCTGTCCTCACCTAAGTTACTTTTGTAAAATGTCCTGGAAAGGGTAGGCAGACTCCACTGCTTATACTGGCATACCTGAGTTTGGGGGCTACTTTTCTTGCATTCCCTAAGGAGACTTTGCCTGTTCTGAAAGAAGCTATTCTTGGGTCTGGCATGAATACACAGCAATATTGCCTATGAACAAAAAATGAGGCTTCATTTCCACCCAGAATTCCTTCTGATGGCTTATGCAGGTTTCTGTTCAGGCTCACAGAAGAGTGAGCTCAGTAGATTTCCTATCAAATTCAGTTGACTTCAAAAAGAGAAGACACGGGACTCTCATAAGGTATGTGTTCCTCTGTCAACAATATGAATATTAACGATGAATGTATTTGTACAAATACCTAGATGATGAATACCTTTCTGTTTGTGGTAATATGTCTGAATTCAAATGGTCATAGCATGTTTCCTTGTCTTCCCGGCAGATATTGGGTAAAAGATTTTGCAGTAATCACAGTCTTTAATCTGTATGAACACAATCTGTTTATAATTATATACTACAGACAATGAGGAAGACATGGTGGTATAATCCCAAATAATTCTCTAAGCCATCATGTGATCTGAAGATCTCATTTCTTGTGATTTGGTTTAATAATAATCTGTCAGTGTCAGTTACCGTACTTATACTGTTTTACACTAAATTATGTTATTCATGAACATAAAGTAAAAATCCAACTAAATATGTTTCTTAAAAGATCCCATGCTTGGCCGGGTGGTGGTGGCGCATGCCTTTAATCCCAGCACTTGGGAGGCAGAGGCAGGTGGATCTCTGTGAGTTCGAGACCAGCCTGGTCTACAAGAGCTAGTTCCAGGACAGGCTCCAAAACCACAGAGAAACCCTATCTCAAAAAAAAAAAAAAAAAAAAAAAAAGATCCCATGCTTTTAAATAGAAGCCATGGAAAAGGGAACTGTTTAAATGCAAAATTAAAGCCATTGTATCTCGGAATTGACAATAATTACATAATTCTCTTTCTTTTTCACAGAAACTGTTCAACTTTTCCCATTTCCTTGTACCAGAGACAACAAATTTCAATAAAATTTAGGCACTGACGGTAAAAAGTTGTTAAAGGGTGTATCAGAATTATTTGTCCCTTCAGTGAAGAAACTTAACTATATGGCACTAAGAAAATTTTGAGACCCACGAAGAACATCACATTCTATGCTTGTCTGTATGGCACAGTAGCCTTGAAATGATGAACTTATGTATTTGATATTATAATGTCATATGAATTGGCATCTGAGCCAATGATGCACAGTGTGTATTTTCAATCAAAATGTCTCCTACTTGAAAACCATCACAATGAATATTTTTTAAGATACCATCTATTGAACATATCATAGGAAAAAATAATAGACGACATTGGCAGGACTCAAATTTAAGATTGTGTAGGTAGCACATGGGAAAATGTCATAAGTGGTAATTTGAGGAAGGCTATCATCTACTTGACTTACATACATGTACAGTAGCTAACATACATTTCAAAGTCACATTTATTTTGAGCATATGTAATTGATGTCCAGAAACTCCTTGTTCTCAAAGCCGTGAAAACAAATGAGGCAGGACACTGTTATTAATGTCCACTTACAAGATTTGGTTTTATTTAAAAAGTGTATAAACATGCATTTTCTCCGGTTTGACTGTTCTTTCCAATTTACTCATTCAAAATGGGTCAAACAGATTTTCGTTGGTAGCCAATTTCTGAGAATGTACCAGAAAATATTTAGTCCAATAAATCTACTAATTGTTAACTGAACATACTGCGAGTACTGCTTAAGTTACTTAAGTTAAGCGCTTAACAACTTGCCTATACATTTGGTGGCATCAATTTCACTGCTTAATCAAACTAAAAACAAAATTGTATGTATAATCCATTAGATTTTTAAGTAATGAACTTAAGTGATGTGGCCACATCCTCTAGTATGTACTGTACATGTATTAGAAAGATGAGCAATATCCAAAATTGGCTTGAGTATGCCCTAAAAACAACTTGTTTCTTTAACTAGTTGCTAAAATTTCTAGAGTTGATTCTTTGTTTCCTTGGGGAACTTCATGTTATACTCTGACTTACTGAATTGGTAAGGTTAATTATGGTCTTTCAAAAATGTTATTTTTTAAAAGCTGTAGTATAAATACAGATCTCTTGAAACACCTTCATTTCATTTTGCTCATTGTAACTTTCAAATGGGTCAATTACAATGACGGTAAAGTTGATTCTAAATAAAACTTTAATTATAATTTTAAAGCAAGTTAGTACATCTTTGCTACCAACATACTTTAACCCATATTCATCTAGACTTAAACTTCTTTCTTTTGACCCGTGCTTTTTTTCAATAGTAAAAGCCATCTTTCTCCTTAAAATTCACTCTATATCTGATGTTTCAAGAAGACTTGCCAACACTATCATTCCTTCGAATCTTCCTATTTCTACACCCCAAATGAAAGTCCTCTCACAGGATTGGTTACGCCAGTATTACCCAACCTAACGTACAGTACAGAAACTCCCTTCACATTCCATCTTTTTCTTCATGTCATGAGGAGTAGAGATTTTGTGCTTATCACCAAATAAAATGGCAGTGCAAAATTTAAACATAAAATGTTACACAATTAAAAGTTAATATATGGCACCACAGCCCGTTAATTCACATATAGTACAACAGACCAATAAGAACAGACAATAATATGAACAGAGTTGAAAAGAGTGAACTTGCATAGCAATGCAAAAAAGAAATTATATACAGAGGAAATCCTTTTCTTCCTGGAGGGTGAGTTTTGTTTTCTTTCTTTTTCTTATATACTCCTGACAAGAAAGAGTTAAGGTAGGTGGTGTAATCAAGAGGAGAACACAAGAAAAGAACTGTGGGATACGTGTGGCTGTGTGTCTTTACATTGCATTTACAGTTTTTTTAATAGTACATAAATAAAGAAATTGTTCATTGCACTGTTAAATGTTATCACTTCCATGAGTTCAGACCTGGTAGTCCTCAGAGCATCTTTGTATGTCCCCTCTCAGTTACTCTGAAAAAAAAAAAAACAAACAAGAAAACAATATTCATAAACACAGCTTTCTCATATGTTAAATAGTCTTCTATCCTGGAAAGCAATAAAATCAATGCGAGCGGACTGTCATCTAAAGATTGTCAGCTAAGTATTGCATTTGTGAGTTTAAGTCATTCTCTTTCAAGACTGACCAGGGCAGGGATGTAACTAGGAAGCTTGAAGATCTGTGATGCACATGGAGGCTTTCATGGAGTACTTATCAGATGACAGATACCGTTAAGTATGGAAAAAAAAGAACCCACGCATGTGTGAATCGTAGCAGAAGTTATAAACAACCCATAACAACAAACTTAGCAGTAGTTGGTGGTAGTAATTCAGATTCGTATAGAACTCTGCAGCTTTGTCAGAAGTCAGCCTTCATCACAGAATGAATTAGTTCCCAACACTGACACAAAACCACCAGCAGATTCACATTTCATGGGAGGAAGTCGATGTAAAAAGAATTTATGTTATCTCTATTTAATTATTTATTGGTTGGTTGATTTGGTTTTTTGACACAGGATTTTGCCGTAGCTTTGGTGCCTGTCCTGGAACTAGCTCTTGTAGACCAGGCTGGCCTCAAACTCACAGAGATGAGCCTGCTTCTGCCTCCCGAGGGCTGGGTTTAAAGGCGTGTGCCACCATTGCCCGGCCTATTTATTTTTAAAATGTAAGAACAAAGACCAACTCAAGTAGGGGGAACTGCTGAAAAGGTTCACAAAAGCTAACAGGAGAGGTAAGATCATCTCAGTGCTAAAGAGGAGATACTACATTCAGTCCCCATCACAATGAACAAACAAAATATCGAGTAGGGAATTTCCATCCTTTTCTTTATTGTACTCAGTAAAAAAAGTGCAAAGTGGATCCCTACCAAATGAATTCTATTTAACTTTAAATATTAAGTTTAATTTCAGGCACTAAAAGACTGGTATAGAGTTTAAATAAACTTGAAATACCCATGAAATGTTTGCATCATTGACTGCTATAAACCTTATCCTTTAACTTATGACCAATCCTGAACAAAATAATTTGGTTGTTTATTAGCAGAGGAAATTTTCTATCTTTCAGAAGTACACATAATATAGTGGTTCCATTAGGCCAATATACATTCTGAATCACGATGGCCTTTAAAATTACCCAAAAGACTTACATAATTCACCTGTAAACTGTCCTTGACTATTTGAGCCCCCATATCCAATGTCCAGAAGGTCACTGGCATTTCGCTGATGGCCGCCCCTTAATACCTCGGCCTTCCGAGGGCCAGTGGACCCTTTTGAGGAGGCTGTTCCCGAAGAGCTGTGCCCACCTGGAGATGGGAAACTGGGCTTGCTGTAGGGTACCAAGGACTCCTCTGGAAAAAAAAAAAGAAACAAATCATAAAAGACTAAATTGAACTGCAAAACAGGGGCCAAACCCAAACCCAAACATTATTTTCCATTCTTGAGCAAAATTAAAACCATGAAGTTTAATCAGTCCTGAATATTAAAGGTATTTCCACATGCAGGCAACATTTCCTAACACAGACACTGAGAGGGATGGGATTAAGAGATTGGGATAAGTACAGAATAGTATTTTCAAGGTTTAAATTCATCGAAACAGAGTGTTGCATAAAAGAGCCATTATTTTTACTAAACAAAAATAATGTCTGAGAATTATTTCTGGAGTTCAGTGAAGCTCAATTTAATTTTTCCATTAAGACTGAGGAAACATGGTTTTTGTTTTAGTTTAAATTATGGCAATATTGTCTCAATCAGTTTAGAACTAGAACTATATATTAGTGAATTAAATATGATCCTTAACTTTCTGTTTATTTCTTGAGCCAGAAATCCATTGTTTGAAAGATTCTGTGTTTCATTAAAAGAGAACCAAACATTAGTTATAATGTATTAATGTTTTTTTTAGATATTGCCTTTCCAGAAATAAATTATGTGTTACAATCAATATGTTAATGCTTAGAGCTCCTCTTCTCTTTATTCCAGTCATTTCTCATCTCCCATCCCTTCCAACTCCACTATTGTTTCTTCTGATTTTCTGGGTATATGTCATTATTTAGTGAATAAAACATCTGATTGAATTTACCAGTTCATTCCTTAGCTACTTTTTAATGAAAAGGGGCAGGTTGTATTTCTTTTACAGCTGGTAACTTTCCAAAATATTTAATTAAATCTCAATATTGTGATTGCCATTTTCTGGCCCTTTCACAAAAGAACTTTCCAAGACTTGAGCATCACATGGTGAAAAAATGTGATTATGGAAAATGGATGAGGCAAAGGCATACTTAGACAAGACCGAGTACAGATTAATAGAGAATAGATAAAGGGAAGTGTGTGTCTGTGTGTTCATTTCTAGTAGGTACTAAACAAAAGTGGAAGTTCCCCCCACAATATATTTGTGTAATAGATTTACCTCCCCGCTCAAAAAAATCCAAGCAGGAATTATGAAGTTTATGTTGTCAGACTTTCAGGAATTTTTTTTCTTATAAATAAGAACTCTTCCAAATGTTTACATTTAACATCATTTAGTCTGATGGATAGCATATGAACTCAGTTCCACCTTTTCTAACCTTATGATACTGATTGGACATTTACTTGCAGTTTTGTGAGCTGAATTAATTCCCCCTTTTGAAAGTTGTGAGCTCCTTTTCAAATGAGTGGCTACTTCAATCAAGTAGACTAAGTTAACATGAAAGAAGAAATTCAGTATTCTTAAAAACACTCAATATAGATGTTCAAGGATATCAACATCAAGCTATTTTCTGAGCATTGTTGATGAAACCTGGAGGTTTTTAAGACCAAAGACTTTATACAGGGTTAATTTGTGGACTAGGCCACACTGAATGTTTGCAGTTAAACTCTGCCAAAGAATGCCAGTTTGGACAGATTTAAGACAAATGCGTTCCAGGTGCCATTAGCAATTGCCATTTCTAAAATACCTGGTAGGAAACAAACACGTGACAGCAGTCCCACTTTCCTGGGACTGTGCGGCACACACCTGATCTAACCCCTTGTTTGTGTGGGGCTTTCCGTGCATCTTCTTGGCGGTCAGTAGAGTTTATCCAATCCTGGGTTGGACGCTGCCACTCTAGGGCGGTCTTAGCTGGACAATCCAATGAGCTCTTTGTGTCTTCTAAGTCGGCCGCTTGTTGTCTCTCTAGAGAGCTTCCTTTTCTCTCTGTTGAATTTTCCACGTTACCAGAATGCTGGCTCAGGCCTATCTGCTGTCTTAAACCCTGACTTGGTGGGGGATCTGGTGGTGGGGGAAGATCTAAAAATTTTGAATAATGTTTAGAATGAATTGTGATTTAATGAAAAATACAAGTTTAACTTCAAGTTGGAAAATTGAAAAAAAAATCAAAAAATGACAACAAAAAGGAAAAACCCCTTGTCCTTTTATAAGCACCACCCATGCAAAAGGAATTTATTGAAAATAAGAATCAATTAATGGCATTCAAAATGCATGCTATTGCTTTCTCTTCTATCTTCTTGCCATAGCATCTTTGAGCTAAAAATCGACTGTTTTCATCCATCTGTTCAACAGGGAATATATTTTCAGCAGCATGCTACAGGCTAACACTCAAGGTAAAGGACAGGTTGTGGTTTAAATTCAGTCTCCCTCTCTTCAAGATAGAAATATAATGAGGGAAAAAAATCACTATAGATTCTAGCAGCTGTACTAATAAAAGTCCCTGAGAACAAAAGCTCTGTAAATAATCTCCACAGGAAAGATCATGCTCCAGACATTGGGACTAGCGTCCAAAGCATATGCGGGGTAGGACTGTCTTTATGCAAGTGCGTACCACATTGAGCAACAGCCAAAGGGTTAAGCTATATTAAATTCAATTAACATTCTGCCTGACAACTTATCCTACTTGTTCGTTTCATGAGTTAGCTAATGAGTTACAACTAATATACTATAATCGTCCCTTGTATTAATTTTCATAAGTAATAACCAATGTTCAGAGCACTGATTGAATATGCTAAATGGTGACTAGTGTAGACAATGTATTGTGGGAATTAGAGATAGAGGGGAAGAGATAAGATTTTGAAAGAACGTTTTAGAAGAGTCTGGACATACCCACAGTTGTTTGAATGTAGCCTGAAAGAGCTTTTAAAATGAAACTTTGGAAATGAAGAAAACTTAAATGTTGAATGTGAGCTAATTTTTCATTTTCCTTTGCAAGCTCTTTAGATTTTCATCTTTATATTTTGAATGTCTTTGATTATGAAGTTACATTTCCCTTTATATCTTTCTAATATTATTTCTAAAATGACATGATTAAGGACTTTGAAATTTTCTAAACATTCATTTGTACCAGGATCATTTAAGTTTTCTTTCAAGCTATTGTAAAATTCTTGGCTCACCCTAAGATGAGGCAATTATGTTGCTTATGTATAAAACTGATGTATCATGCAATATACATTTATTAAATAAATAATGATGTTCCATTTAATGTGGGAGATTATTTTTCATTTCTTTTTTTAAATACATTTTTTTTTTTGTTTTTAATGATACTAGTGAAATCAGAAAGGCAAAGCCAAATTTGTACACTAGAAGTCAGCTCTCTTAAGAAGAGAATGTTCACTTTACGGCCTTATTGAAAAACTCTTTTCTCTGTTTTATGAGCAAAACATTAGTATCATCCATTAGAAAGACATTAATGCTTTGTTGAGCGTTTGTCTTCGAGGTTCCAAGTTGAAGTAGCATGCTGAGCTCTCACGAATGTCTTCATGTCAGATTACAGCTACTAACCATTGATGAGAAAGGGATGTTGTCTGGCAGGATAGGATTGCATTTGGAACATTTCTCCCAAAATGAAGAGCTAATGCAATAATGAGTTATCTGTTTGCATGATAATTTAATGAGTTTGGTGTTTGCTTTACATTCAATACTGGCTTCCTTTGCTGTGTGTTATTATGGATGCAAATTAATTATTTTATTTGAGTTATTGGACTTAGTCTGTCAGTGAGGGGAAAGGATTGTATTGGTTTCTAAAATAACATATCTTGTCATTGATTTTTCTTCTCCATCTGAGCTGTTTAATTTCTAAAATGGCCAAAATGGCATTTGCTTATGGCAGCTGAAATTTTGATGCCTATTTAATTTGACTTGAAATTATATAGCTTTGTAATTATATAATATCCTTGGAGATTTTATCTTCCAAGGATAAGGAACATTGAATAAACATTGAAATAAACTGGAAAGAGATGGAATTATAGATGATTGTGGAAAATAAAGGTATATAATACAATACATTTACTTAAATTAAATTCATTATTCAATTCTTAGTGGAATTATTTCAAGTAAGTCCATTCACTAGAGTATCTCACTGGCCTACTGTGGGTTAGCTATTGTCCAGCAATGACAGTCCAATGACATAGGTACCTTATTATTCTCATTTATTTTTTAGGTAAATGGATGGGGATGAAACACAAAGAAATCAAGCATCTCCAGCATATGTCTTTCTTTTAATAAGATCCAATTCATGAAATTGTGTTCCCAGGGTCCAGCTCAGCTCAGGAGTTAGGAAGTACTTCCACATAGCTTTGCATCATCCCATGAAGACATACGTTTCTACGAAAGTGTTTCTCCCCTCAGTCTGCTACAGTTCCATTCTTCTCACTCCCCAAATTGGAAAGTCTTTGAATCGCTTTCTATTTGAAAGGGTGGTGGCCTATATTACTTTATGTTTACAAATCCCACTAGTTCCATTTCCAGTATCTTACATTTCTTTTTGCTTTCACTGATCTCATCTTGGCATGAACCACTCTTAGTTATTGCTTCTATGATCTTCAATTATCTATATTTTTACGCTTTGGGGCACTTAATTCTTTGTTACAAAAAAATCGAGACTATTTTAATATTAAAATAAATTGCATTTTTAATATTAAGATATAAGATTATGCCACCATTTTACCTTAAAGATATAAACATATATTTTTCAGAATACACACACACACACAGTCTTCTAGGAATTTTCCATTCAAAACACTGTAAAAGTTTATGACAGTTCCTCAGCATACAGATCCTTAAGCATCTCTCCTTCCTTGCATTCCTGGCATCATATTCTATATTATTTGCTCTAGTCATATTGCTCGCCTTCCTTTTAAAAAAGTATCAAATATGCACCAGGATTTCAATTGCTGTATCAACTTCTAAGATGACCTTTCCTTGGAAATAAATATTGTTCTTTTCCTCATATTATCTCTATCTTTTCTCATATGTCAAGCTGTTGTTGAGGCTTTCCCTGAAAACTCCCTTTATTAAAATACTTCCTCCTAACTACTTTACAATTTCCTGTTGTTTCTTTCTCCATGGCAACAGTCACCATTTGCATAAATTACACATTTGTATTGCTGTGAACCTGTTTGTTTTTTTCCTAGATATCAAATGCAGGAGATTAAGGAATCATATCTAAAATATATGCTCACTCAGTGTTTAACTGGAGGGACCAATGAGCTCATAAAATTGCAGAAAGCTAAATTGTGGCAGATATAGGGCGGATTTTTTTCCATGAATTAAAGACTAGGGGAAAGACAGAACAGTTTAAGAGAAAATAATCTCAGAAAAACATTGATGGGGAACCTACCATCTACCAGAACTGGTCAGGGTATTTTCTTATAGGAACAGAGACTTATATTGAACAAGTCCAGCTTAGAAGAGACATTCCACAAGAAAAACCAACATGTCCATAACTGTGTATGGGTTTTTACATAGCCTTTGGGACAGAAACTGACATTTCTTTTTATTCCAAATTCCTCTCACTGGACACAGAGAAAACCACTTCCTTTCCTTAGAAGATGATTTGACACGAGGAGACAGCAATCTTGACAATGATATATGAGAAGTGGCGTGTGGCGCTTGCTATAGGACATTCCACTATCAACAACAATCTGTCATTCTAGCTTTGGAGTCCACAAAGTCCAACTCTAAAATTGTTGTTACTGGTGGCTGGACAGATGGGTGAGTGGGAAGCATGCTTGTTTGGCACAAAGACCTGATTTCAATCCTCCAGAACTCACATAGAAAAAGAAAAGGCAGGTGCTACACTGGGTTCCCTGGGCCTCTATGTTCCCAGTGCTGCTGGCCTGCCAGTGCTTCTGGGCTTCCTGTGCTACTGGGCTCCCTGTACCTCTGTGCTGTCTGCCAGTGCTTTTGGGTTCCCTGTGCTACTGGGCTCTCAGTATTCCTGGGCTCCAAATGCTGCTGAGCACCGAGTGCTGATGGGCTCCCAATACTGGGGAGGAACAGGCAAGAGTATCTTTGGAGCTTGCAAGCCAACTTATATGAACAATGGCTGAGCTCCAGAAACAGAGAAACACCCTATCTCTAAAACCAAAAAAAAAAAAAAAAAAATGGTTGTTTAAGAAAACACCCATCATTAGCTACTAGTTTAAACATGCATGAAGCAAGCTCACACACAAATACATGTGCACCCCTCAACATATGCACGTGAACATAAGTACCTACAGACAATAGACAGACAGACAGACAAGCAGACAGACACACACACTCAACACACACAGTGATTACCTCAATATTTCTAAATCCTAATGCCTGTTTAACTGGTTAAAGGAAAGTCATCTGACCTTGAAAGATGATTGTGTCAATGAGAATAAGACTGTTATTGTGCTAAGATGCTGAGGTTAAATAGGAAAGAAAATAGTCAACAATAATTACCCTAATTAATGTGCTCGTAAGGATTATAAAATCTTTAATTCAAAAGTTTCAATGTAAAATGCTTATACAGTAAATGCTGCTAAGCAATGACCTTCTGCAACAGAATGATTTTATCAAGAATACATATTAATTTGGATGTTGGAAATGAGTATATCAGTGACAGAAATTCATATATTTAGAGAATGAGATCAACACTACAATTTACTTAAAGTGATCAATTAATCCTCAGAGCATCTGAAGCAGAAAGAGGATCATAAACATTTTCTTTGTGTGTGCATTATGGGTTAGCAAATTCCCCACCTGTAAATACACCTGTATCCTTAACTTCCATATTCCATGAAAACACTTCCCAAAGAACAAAGAGGGGCAATAATACGAAAGTGCTTGGTGTTCTAAGTCTTAGCATAATGAGATTGAAAGAAAGTACAGTGATGGCTGCTGGCTTCTTCAGCCGCAAAAATGAAGACAAAAACCATCATTATTTTTTTCTGGCTAAAGTTTAACTCAACATTTGTAAGTATGATGCCCACTGACTGGTTGTGGCTTCTCCAAACCAAGACACAAAAATGCCAGTAAGTGGGTTCTACCTTAGATAATTATATCAGAACCCGACGATCATATTTTAGAATTTCTACAAATGGTTTTAGCCTTCAGTTAGCAAGGTGCATCCTTTTCATTCTTAGTAAAATGATCTCACGATGAAATTTAGGAACATATAAGGAGGTGTTTCTAAGAAGAGAACAGAAATCTATCTTTACAGCTAAGGTTTCAGTAAGTATTTCAAATGTTTTAAATAACAAAAACTTAAAGTGAAAGTTTAGGATGAATATTTGAGAAGATATCGGAACTGAGCTGAAAATATTATAACTAAGAGTACTCAGTAGACATACTAAAACAATCATTATTGAGCTTGTATGTCTTCCAAAACTTAGCAGTAGCTAATGAAAGGCTCAAGTATCAGATACTCTGTGCAATAAAATTATTTAAATAAAACATCATGATTCTAATTCAGTTACTGATTCATTGATAAATAAAGTTTGATTGAAAATCATTTGTACTAATAGTTTTTGAGAACTGGTTTCTTATTGCCCAGGTTCTCCCCTAACTGGAACTTTGTATATTGCTATCTCGCTCTCCCAAGTGCTTGGATTACCTGTATGTGCCAGTTTTTGTATTGTTGGTTAACCAATCTCAGGTTTCATTTTTATGCTAGGCAAGCATTCTACAAACTGAGCCACACCAGTTATATTTTAAAATTTTTGGAGGTACACTTACTCAACAAGCAGTAGATTTAGAACATAAAACCCATGTTCCACAAAGTCAGAAGTATTTACTATTTTAACATTTAAAAAAGCAATATTGAATCTTTCATATGGGTAGAATTATTATTTCTCTAAAATTCATATATTGAAGTTATTCCTATTATTTATTGGTATGATATTAGGAACTGAGACCTTTGTGAGGTCATCAGATCATGAAGTTGGGTCAGGGGCCTTATCAAAAACACCAGAGAGTCCTTCTTTCATGTGAGGTCACAATGAGGAGGCACCGTCTATATCCATAAAGGAGTCTCTCAACTGATACCCACAGTTGCATACTCTGGACTTTACAACTGAGAAACAAATTTCTTTTTCCATCTTTTCTGCTGTTTCTATGATTGTGAGCACATATAGAAGATCCCACAACAAAGAAACTTTTCATATCCATCACATATGGCTGTCATCTTGTTCTGAAATTCAGAAACTTGAAACCTTAATAAATCACTTCACAGACTGATCTGAAGGAAAAGGAGCTCCAAGGAGACTAACGTGATTATAGATGTCCTGATACAATGACAAGAGCACATGCTACAGACAGCTTCCCTCCTACACTTCAAATGAGATGCTGAATATTTTCAGAAGAGCTGAAAATTTGGAAAGTTGCATTCTAGATCTTTCTTGAGGCATGATAATAGTAATAGCAATAGTAATAGTAACAGTAACAGTAATAGTAATAATAAAAGATTCCATATGAATGTAGAAGAGTCTGTTTTACTTAAAAACGGAATGTTGCCAAATGAGTATTGAGGCAATGCCTAAGCTATAATAGCTACTTTACTGAAATTTAATGATAACGCCAAGCATATTTCTTCATACAGAGATAAAAGTTAAGACAAGACACATACCATCTGGCATCCCTTCCCTCCGATGAGGTAACACTGGCTGTGTGTCCATCCTCCCTCCCTTGTGTTTTTTGGTGGGCCGAGGCCGCTGGCTTTGATTCAGGGCAGCGCTGGTGTTACTATCGGTAGAAAATGGGCTGGTGGGCCGTGGCCTTTGAGAGGAGGTAAAGGCTTTTCCTGAAATGAAAACCAAGGGAGTAGACATGGAGAACGCCCCTATAACACTCTATTTTTGTCTTGCCTTGTGTCTCTGCTCCTACTAGACTACCTACCACTACCTACTACTAGTGAATGCACCTACAGATGTTGTTCAAAGACACAAAACCCAGCTCCTTATCTCCATGAAACGCATGAATCCCTGCTTAGAATTCATCCATTTTTTAATATGCTAAGAACACTCTACTCAAGGAAAACACATTTCAAACAAAGGAACCTGAAATAAATGCACAGACTGAAAGCTTCCCATTGCTTGATCATAGTTTTATAGGATCTTCACAATCTTCATAAAACTTTAAATCTGGGCCAGTGCATGCCATATTTATTTCTCAACTTAAGATAGTGGATTTTGAAAATAATGAATTGTCTGCTGTTTTATTTGAATTAGTCATGCTTTACTCTTGGAATCATAACTTTGAGAATTACATTTGAAGTTTTATGTGAATGGTCTGCTGAGATGCATATGGAACTTTACCGCTTAGAATCCGCCCACAATGAATTCTAGCTCTTTTAGCAGGATGAAGTAAGATCAGTGTAGAAGCTAGCAGGTGTCTATCCAAAATGGCATAGGTGTATTCTGCACATATTATAATATCTGAATAGACCCTATACTTTAATTTTTTAAATGAATTGCTCCATTTCTTGATAATTTAAAATATATGAATAAAAATTTTCCAGGACAAAGGTCAGCTAATACATTTTCTACAGTGAATTATTTTAGTACTAAGTTTATTATGTAAGAAAGGAGTAGTTTATGTGCACATATTTATTCTCTTGTGCATATTTTCACTTTATACAAAATTATCATATATAGTTGCACTGTCCTAAGTCATTGTGACTAGATATTGCCTAATGCTTTATTAGCAATTAGCATACATGCTGCTAGTGCACTTATGCCTTCTAATTTATTAGCTCCTTTGCACCTTCTCCCTTCTCTACCTATAGCAAATGCCACAAGGAAGCACTCAGGGAACGTAAAGATTCTGACTTATGTCTTATGAAGCAAGAAAATTCAAATAACAGTTATATTGCAACATATTTTAGCATTTGGATGCTATATAAAAATAAACCTTTGCAATGCCTGAAAAATTCTTCCATTTTGTTTGAAGAATGCTTAATGCACACTTGAAAGAAATATTGATGGTAAAACTTAAAGACAATGTACAAGGCATAATTTTATGGCCAGAAAGTGTAGCAAAGGTTCAAAGTAATTTTTCTTTACTATTTGAGCACCATTAAATTTAAGAGTGCATTTGATATTTCATAAGTTTATTTTGTTTAGGGAGCATACTAAATGCACACATCATATTCCTATTATATGCAGCAAGGAAGTACATAAACAAATATAAGGGCTGTTATCAAAAATCTTCATGTTTACAAATTATTGACAAATTACCAAAATTAATCTCCTTCCCGCTGTTACATGAAATATACATAACAATTATATAATTGACTTCAATGTTATTATTTACTGCTCTTGGTAATCAAAATGAATTTACTTAAAGAGCAATACACATATAGATATTATCTTTTCGAACTCACAAATGCATTTGGTGTATCTTTAGTTAGCATCCTTTAAAACAAGTAATAAATTATTGTATTAAAATCTTAGTCAAACCATTAGGACCATCAGCCAAGTGAAGTGTTAGACAGCAGTGTTAGACCCACTCACCCCATGCTGGGGAAAGGAAGCCTTCCCAGAGAGTGCCTCTGCAGAAAGAAATGGGGCAAGGCACCATAGTGGAGATAAAAGCTGAATAATTTTAATCATCAGGTTCGGTATTGATTTTGTGAAGGGTTTGTAATATGTGACTTACTGAAGGTTTAATGACAATATTAGTTGTGCCTTTGTTGTAATATGAAAAGGAAGCACAGTGCAATTAACCAGTAGAACCATGAAGAGAAACAATGGATGTGATGCAACATAGTGAGTAGAAGCCTATTTTTGGCTCTTCAATATTAGCATCAAAAGAGGATTCTGATAACATAGCATCCATCCAGCTGTGTTCATGCATATTTTAAAAAGCCTGTAGTTAGATTCACCAAGAAGAAAGAATAGAAGGAAAGGTCAATGTCCAGAGGACAGGATACTCTCATGCAAAGAGTGTTGACTTGGAGTCTACCAACCTGTTCTTGTAAGACTGGTTCCATCCAGTCTAAAACCAGCTTTATCTGCTGCTGCCACCAATGCTTGTGCAAAGCTGCCGCTGGCAAAGATGGAGCCATCTGAGGAGCTACCTACACTAGATCTATGACTAGAAAAGTTACGATCCTCATCAGATGCAGAGCCCCATCCATTTACCATTGAACCTAAAAACAAATGTAGTGGTCCAGTGAGTTGTATAGATCAGATATTTGATCTGCTGTAACACAGTGTATAATGAACAAGTTGGTTATTTCATTTCTTCACTGTTCCTTTAAAGTTTCATTGTGAGTCCTTTATTATCTGCCCCATTATCTATGTCTCCAACATTCTAAGCACTAAAGAACTAAGGCAATTTCAAATCTGTATCTAGTTGTAGCCCACTGACAAAACACATTCAAATTGGTCCAATTCTTCTATTGATTAAACTGTCACATGATTATTTCTCTATAACAACTGCTATGTATATTTAACTATGTATCAAGAAAGAATAATCTGACTGAAGTAAACTAGTGAAATGAAACGGAAGGAGTGGGTTGAAAAAATTTAGTGTGAATGTATTTTAAGGGTAGTTCAGATTTCATCAACTATATGAAGAATTTAATATAAAAGTTACTCATAAAAACAACAAAAACTCATATATAAAGTGTCTAAACAATATCAAATCAATATGGAACATAAGGAAAACTATTTTTCTGAATTTCTAATTATGACAATGTTTGTTATATGTTCTTTAATTTTTAATTAGCTTAATAACTGCAGTTTTTCTCAATGCTAATAGTTCTTTTAAAATAATCGCAAAAATATCATGAACATTAATGTGTGTTATTCAGCAAAATGAAACAGTGCTAGTTGATAATACAAAGTACTTTGAAGATATAAGTAACATTTTCTTAAGATTCTAGGGAAAAAGTCAGCTTTCATTCTTTTCTTAAACCATCATACATAAACTACCAAGTAGTGCTTACCCTAATATATTTTAAAAAGGGACACAAACTTAAAATCCATGTTAGGTTTTCGAACTGACAAAAAGATTTATAAGAAATGGGTAAAATCTAATACGGTAGTGTTTTTCTTTCTTTTTTCTCCCTCTTCTCAAGACAATAGTGTTGTTAAGCATTTGAAGTATTTGAAATGTTAAGAAAAGGGTCAGTGACATAGCACATCCATTTCAAACAGAAAGAAAGCAAAATTGCAAAGATATTGGATAATCTGAGAAGATAAAATAGTGTTAGGTAGAAGAAACTAAGACAGTTTGGACTCTAGTTGGCAAAAGCACACAGACACACTGTTTACATTCCAAATAAATCCCCTGTGGCAGGCCACTATACGGAAACTAAGATAACACTAGCATCCCAGCCTCCTGTGGAAGATTCATTTCTGGGCTAATGATCAATGTCAAGAACCAGTAGACCACAATGAAAGAAGAAATGATGCAAAGGACGCTGTGGTGTAATGTCACAGGAGATAAGGAAAAAATCCAAGGCTATTCAGTTAGGAGTCACCACAGACTGTGGAACCACAGCTGAGAATAGACTTACGGAATCTGAAACCTCATTATCTGTTCCTTCCGCAGGCTATTTTTATTGTTTTCAATATCAAAATAGTCATGGCCTTTTTCTCTCACTTGCATTTCATCTTTCAACTCTAACTTGTTTCTTTGTGGTACCTCCTGTCTTCCTTATTGTTGTCTACATTTTCTTTCTCAAGAACATATTCACTTTGATATCTCAGTTTTGAGATCTCTAGACTACCAACATCACATCCACATTCTTGCTAGACTTCTGAGGTCCTGGGTTTTTATAGTATGGAGTGCTGCCTACCTCTGCAGTTTTTGTAGTCACACATTTTCTCCTACCACTTCGGTACACTTCAGCATTGCTACCACCTCTAGTATCTGGTGTGTCAATGAAATATTAGCCCTTAGTTGACATGTTTCTGTTTCACATTCAGGCTTGGATTCGAATCGGTCTTAGCCCCTTGGTTGCCTAAATACTATGCAAATAAGAGTACACTGGTTCTATCCCTTGATTGTACTTGCTACATATACATTCACTAAGAAGAAGAGTTTTAGATATAAAAACTACCTGTTATTCATTCCCATATAAGTTATACAGAGATATTGAAGATCAGAAATTCAATAAAGACTGACAAATTGAATAAAGTGCATTTGGCACTTTTAGTCTTCACTATAAATTCTTTGAATGAGTCTTTGTGATGTATAATATCTTTTGGTTTGTTCGTTTCTCAAGTAAGGGCTTCTTGCCGGGCGGTGGTGGTGCATGCCTTTAATCCCAGCACTCGGGAGGCAGAGGCAGGTGGATCTCTGTGAGTTCGAGGCCAGCCTGGTTTAGAAGAGCTAGTTCCAGGACAGGAACCAAAAAAAGCTACAGAGAAACCCTGTCTCGAAAAATCCAAAAAAAAAGGGGGGAGGGACTTCTTTTTATAGCCCTGATATCACCCTGGAACTCACTCCGTAAACCCAGGTTGACCTTGAACTCAGATTTGCCAGCTTCTGACTCGCAAGTTCTGAAATTAAAGGCATATGCCACAATGCTCAGCAATTACCTATTTTACTTGCAAAAGAATGTCTTTATAAGCATTCTTAGAAATTTCAGTAAATTTATTTGCTTTCTAAATAAAATATAATATTAGTGAATTATTGTTGGTCATTTATAGGCATAGAAGATAATGATGCAATTGTCTAAAATAGCAACACAAAATGGTAACATATATGATTTTATTTATATAAGTGGGTGGATATTATGTAATAAAATGCATATTATACATACATATACATATCTATATGTTGGTTATG